CCACCAGCCACTCCTCGGAAGGAAGATGGGGCAATCTACTTCCATAGTGATACTGCCTCGGAAACCCAAGGAGGGGTCGCTATGAGTCGGGTCCGATTCAATGGCACATAAGAACAACAACAACAACAACTTTTTTCTTTGTTCCTATTTATATTTACTCTGTATGAAGCTTGTTCTTTTGAGTCAATATTTGGTTCAATTTTACAAAGTATACTTGAATTTAAAACATATTCTACAACCTTATAGAATCTAGGATTGTACCACACACTTGCATAGGAAGATAACTATGAACACCAAAACCAAATCAAATGCACTTTTGTGGACTCATAGAGACCCCTCTTTGGGTTTCTGAGGTGGTATCACTACAGAAGTAGATTGCCCAACCTTCTTTCCAAGGAGTGGCTGGTGGGTTTGAACTGCCAGCCTTCTGGCTAACAGTCAAGTGCCTTAGGCACTATGCCACCAGAGCTCCCAACTATGAACACAAGGGTATTTATTTTACAGACACCATGAATCTTGCCATAAACTAGTCACTTCAGAGAGAACTCTAACATGTAGGGTTTAGCATCCCTTCCAAAGGTTAGCTAAAATTCTAGAAGGTTCTCACTTTGAGGTAGCCCCTCTCACTAGTACTTTAAAACAATTTCAAAACAAGGATGCAGTGTAATAGAAATTATCAATTAATCTTTAGATAAAAAAGTTGTACCTTGCATGCAGGTATAACATCAGTATATCATTATATACCAGTGTAACTCTTTAAATCTCTAACCTCTGTAGTATAGGGGCTCTTAAGGTTGGTAGAGCCTATAGACAGTGATTTAAGAGTTCAAGACAACAGACTAAACAATTAAAGTTGCATAAAACTGGAAATTAAATTTAAATGTACTTATGGGGACCTTATGTGCCCATGACAGATCACATTTAGGATTCTTCATGGAGTTTATACACTGGTTTTGGCCTCAGAATATATGGAATAATACTATTTAAAAATAATATAATTATTTTACTTCATACCTTGTCTGTCTTTTTGTCTTGCTTTTCCAAAATAGCCATGTTGTCTTTCAAAGTTTTCACAATTTCTGCTGGATTTTTCTGTGATTTGCTAAACAAAGGCATTTTCCCCCCCAGATAGAAATCACTTCTTCCAATATGGAATGCTAGAACCAAACAAACAAACAAAAACAATACCTTTAACTCTTATTGTGCTTAAATTGTTATACCAAAACACTTTTACCAGTTTTTAATAACTCCATTTCAGTAATTTGAAACATTAAAAACTATGACACTAAACTGAGTTTCATCAAGTTTTATGCCAATTTAAATACATATAAAATATCTTAAGAAAGCTATTTTTAAAAATTTAACCTAAAAGGTTTTACTCAGAGTTGAAATTTTTTTCTGCAATAAAAATGTAAGGATTATGTGAAAATAGGAAAAGGAATATTTTCAGAGTATAAGGGGAAATTTAAAACTCTTCCAGGAGTGTCAATTCTTAGTACTTATAATATCTATTTACATAGAGCAAAGAAAGGCAAATATGGCTGTCATTTCTTATTTATACTAAAGGTGTATGTACTGGGGGAGCAGGGCAAGGCTCCTGTAATTGAAAGCTCCAGTTAATAGAGGCATGTTCATTTATTTTACCTTTAATAACAAAAAATATTTCAAACATTACAGAAATATGATGCAGTAAATCAAAGGCTCTCATGATCTACCTGCCAGAGACAACACTATTATCAGTTTGGTATATATTCTCCTAGAATGTTTCCTATACACCCATTATTAAATGTGTTTTTAAAACAAAAATAGAATCATATATATCACAGAATAGTATTTAGCAACCTTTTTTCCACCCTTTACGTTCTTCAATATCAATACCATATTTCAATAGTAATACAGTATTCTATTTTATAGATACATCATAATTTATTTTACTAATATCCTATTGATGAATATTTAGGTTACTTCCATTTCCCCCCAACATTTTTTTTTTGTTGTTATGTGCCGTCAAGTCAGACCCGACTCATAGCGACCCCTCCTTGGGTTTCCAAGGCATTATCACTACGGAAGTAGATTGCCCCATCTTCCTTCTGAGGAGTGGCTGGTGGGTTTGAACTGCCAGCCTTCTGGTTAGCAGTCAAGTGCCTTAGGCACTAGGCTACCAGAGCTCCTTTTCTAAATAATAATAATGTGATTAATCAATGAGAAAATATTGTACACACACAAACATACACACCAGTTGACAGTAGTACCCTAACCAGCCATTCTTGTGGTACAACTTTGGCTATGGTTCTAAATGTCTCATTTCTCTAGATTCTATTTCCCAAATATGGCTCCTCAGATTTCTGCTCCGTCTGTGAACTACTCATATCGTTCCAACAAATTCCTTCTCTGCTTAAAGTACCCAAAGTCAGTATTTATTGTTTATGATCAAGAATTCCAATTATATATATACATATATATGTGTGTGTGTGTGTGCGTGTGTGTATAAATATGTGTGTGTGTGTGTGTGTTATGAAGCAGAAATCAAAAATTGGTGTGAATTTTAATGATAAAACAAAAATCATGAAAAATATTTCCTGTTTTCAGCAGAGATCCTGAGGTTATGCCTCTTTTCCCCAAGATGGGGAGGGTATGTGTCAAGGGAACTTGTCTACTCTCAGTTAAAGGCATATCCCAAGGAACAGTTTGAAAAGCACATGAAGGCATCCCAATTAGCAGCAAACCTGACACTGAAAGCTGACATAGCATTCAAAGATAACATATATGAAGATGATATTGCAATTCTCAGTGTGCAGTTTGTCAGGGCCAGAAAAAAAAAAAAAGAATGTTGGAAAAGCATCATGTCTTCCTTCTTTATAAAACTCAAGAATAAAATTATAAAGATGTGCTAGGTTTTTCTTTAATAATCTCTTCTTTAATATACAGACCTAATTTTACATAAATAAAGGCAGAATGCATTTTAGAAGTTTATGGAGTGGGGGAGGGTAGATGACTGGAAGGAGAAAACAGTCATTGGATAGTTAGGTAGATTTCTGTCACTTACAAAGTGTGTGATCTTGGCTGCATTATGTAACCGAAGACTCTGTTCTTATCTACAAAACGGGATGACAGCACCTCCCTCTTAGGGTTGTTGTGAGGATTAAAGGTATGTGAAGTGCCTTGCACAAGGTCTTTCATAAGGTAGGTTAGGAGCTCTGATAGTGTAGTGTCTACGGCACTTGACTGCTAACCAGAAGGCTGGCGGTTCAAACCCACCGGCCACTCCTCGGAAGGAAAATGGGGCAAGCTACTTCAGTAGTAATACTGCCTCGGAAACCCAAGGAGGGGTCACTATGAGTCAGGTCCAACTTGATGGCACATAACAACAACAACAACAATTCTATCATTTTTAGCTGTTATTATTATAAAAAGTTCCATAACATATTTAATGAACTATTTCATGAAAGAAAGGCATATTAATTGAGATATGATCCTGTCTTAATTAAGTATCCTAGATACTTCTGACTCCTTGAGTAAATCATATTGTTTTATTTTTTTAAATATAAATTTGAATATTTAATATTCAATGTTATATAAGTATCATTAAAACAGTGAAATGAAAAGGGGGTTAATTGCATTTGTATTATTGTTCTCTTTCTCCATGTAATCCTGATATTTAAACTGTAGGAATTTCAACTAAATACTCTCTGACATCAATATATATGGTGTACTTTTATTACATATTGCTCTCATTGTATAAATGCTAATTAGGCTGAAATTACAAACATTTTCCATATTAATATTGGACTTCCATGTTAATATTGTAGTTGGCCAGTATTTCCTAATCCACTGCCTCTCAACTTTTCATTTGCCTGTTGGTCTATTTATTTATTTATTCACTGAACAAATAATCTAAGTATAGACTAAGCACACCTTGCTAATAAGCATTAGGGATAGAGCCATGAACAATAAAAGAGCTTATTAAATGAAGGAAGCGAATATTTTAGGTACAATAGGAACACATGAGTCAGAATTGATCCGATGGCAGTGGGTATTTGGTAGGAGCACATAATACACACATACACACACAAACTCACTGCCATCAAGTTGGTCCTGACTCACAGCGACTTCTCCTTGGGTTTCCAAGGCAGTATCACTACGGAAGTAGATTGCCTAGTCTTCCTTCTGAGGAGTGGCTGGTGGGTTTGAACTGACAGCCTTCTGGTTAGCAGTCAAATGCCTTAGGCACTATGCCACCAGAGCTCCTACATAACATACAGTATACCAGAAAACCAAACCCACTGTTACTGAATCACTTCTGACTCATGGCAATCCCCACTGGGTTTCCAAGGTGGTAAATCTTTACAGAAGTAGATTGCCCAGTCTTCCTTCCTTGGAGTGACTAATGGGTCTGAACTGTCAACTTTCTGGTTATCAGTCAAATGCCTTAGGCACTGTACCACTACAGTTCCTTAACATACAGTATAAAGCTAAAAAACCCAAACTCACTGCCATTGAGTTGATTCGGACTCATAGTGACCCCCACTGAGTTTCCAAGGTAGTAAATCTTTGCAGAACTGGATTGCCCAGTCTTCCTTCCACAGAACGGCCTCTTTTTTTCAAAAGTTTCTACATGTAGTTTAGTGACATGGATTACATTCTTTGAGTTGCAACCATTCCCATCCTCCTTTTCTGAGTTGTTCATTAACATAAACTCACTGCCCCCTAAGGTTCCTATCTAATCTTTTGAGTTGCTGTTGTCAATTTGATTCCATATGATAGTTCTTAAAGGAGAATAATGCTCAAGGTAGACATTTTTTTACTAGTTAAGCTAACTATTGTTTGGTTTTAAGATGATGTCAGGGGGGATATTGGGTTTATGGGTTTAAAAATTATCTCATGGCAATAGTTTCAGGGGTTTATCCACCTCTGATGGCTCCAGAAAGTCTAAAGTATGAGAGTCTGAAATTCTGTTCTGCATTGTCCCCCTTTTGATTAGGATTCTTCTATGGAATCTTTGCTGAAAATGTTCAGTAATGGTAGCTGCACACCATCTAGGTCTTCTGGTCTTATGGCAAAAGAAGCAGTTTTTGATAGAGGCAATTAACCACACATTCCATATCTTGCTGCTGTTCCTGACTCTCCTTCTTCTGTCGCTCTGGATTAAGAGAGCCCAACTAGTTTTGCTTCAATGGCCATCTGTGAACTTTATAACTCCAGGTACCATGCAACAAACTAGGAGGCAGAACAGAGGCACAAAACATGTTGTTGGGCCAATTAACTGGGATGTCCCATGAAACCATGACCCTAAACCTCCAAATCAAGGAACCAAACCCATGAAGTTGTACATAATTTGGTTGTACATAAGCAGCCTCAGCAGCTACTCTTTTGCTGTTGTTGTTGTAAATATATCTACCACACAACTTTTTACAGTTATATAATTTATTGACAGCAATTACAATAATCAGCTATGCAACCCTATCCTTAATCAATGCAATTTTTCTATCACTATTAACCCCCCAATATAGTGTTTCATGATACAGTATAGAGCTTCCTGATATATTTGTTTTAAATTTATTACTTCCATATTTTAAATGTACCTATTTACTACAAAACTATGTTGTTGTTGTTTGTTGTTATGTGCCGTTGAGTCGACCCCTGACTCATAGCGACCCCTCCTTGGGTTTCCGAGGCAGTATCACTACGGAAGTAGGATTGCCCAACCTTCCTTCCGAGGAGTGGCTGGTGGGTTTGAACCGCCAGCCTTCTGGTTAGCAGTCAAGTGCTTTAGCCACTATGCTACCAGAGCTCCTATATATATACATATATAGTTTATACACACACACACTACAAAACTACTACAAAAACTGTACAATAAAATTAGTTTAATAACGGTTTGAAATTTCATAGGATTATTCTTCTTCAATTCTGGGACCCATCGTTTGAGGGAAATGAAATCAAAGTCCATACTCTCAAACTACACTGTTCCAGCTCCCAGATCCCTTGCAAATTATGGGAGAACTCCCCTGCTCACCCCAGTGATCCTTAATCTCTATCAGCTCACCCCAACCCCAGACCAATCACCTCCCCATCAGCCTTAAACTAGAGATTGCCCTTGTTACCATCTGGGTAACTGTGCTGGGTGTGGCATGTACATCCACCCATTCACATCATT